ACCCTGCATACATGATTACTGACACTTGGCTTTTTCGCATCATTAAGTCCGGTTACACTTCGGCGGTGGTGTCCAGGCCTCGCTGCCGCCTCACTCAAAGGTTCAGGCTCGGCAGCCACGTAAGTCAGGTTTTTTTCCAACCTGCTCTTCATGTGGACTATAAACTAGTCGGACACCTGAGTGCCTGCAGCTGATCTCAGGTCAGTGAAGAGATGCTCCTGTCACCGTTTGGACACTTGTTGACTACTGGTCCAATGATGTGTCCACACAGTGGCTATTTTACATTTTAACTTTGACACCAGTCAAAAGCGGCTCACAGTTACTGCCTTGACATGTGTGTGTGTGTGTGTGTGTGTGGTCATACCGTCATATTATCCCTGAGTGTCTCTGCCACAGCAGGAGAGTCCTGCTCCACTTATTTCTCATTGGCAAACTGTGTATGCCGGGTGGTTTACTTTATTTCATGCTCCGATGTTCAGACTTTCCTTTTCGGGCTTTCATGCTCAAACTTTGACAGGAAGTGTTTAACAAACCAGTCATTTGATTTTTTTTTTTTTTCTTCTTCCCATCAGCAATTTTGCCAATATGTCTGAACTTTCTGTATTTGAATTGAGATTCTTGAGCTGGAAACTCTTGTACATTAAACATTTAAAGTACAGTCCTGCATTCGGCCAGTTGGCACGGCCTTTGTTTGAGAAATCGCTGGCGTTGCAGCTCAATAACAGACCTTATACCAATTTGAGAGCCTCCGTGCTTCCCACATACCTGCAGCCACTGTGCAATTGTCCGCCCTGTCAATAACAGTTCCACTACAGATAAATTACCATATGACCCGAGGTAACGTCCAAACGAGCAGTCATGATGTCACTATTTTTTTTACCTTAAAAAACAGGAACTGTTCCAGTGTGATTTTCTCAGCCCAGCAGTACGAAACATATATTCTGGTCCGGTATCAGAGTATTCTAAGGTTGATAAGCCTTCAATCAACACCACTTCCTGTAGGACTGTGGTTCTCAATTATTTTCTGTCATGCCCCCCCCTTGGGGACAGAAGTGTTTTCACACAAACCCCCCAACTCCGAATTGAAATAGTATTGAGAACCTGATAACATGTATATTTTATATCTGTACAAACCACCGTATGAGTTGCTGCCACCTAGTGACTGGAGGCTTGTTGTCATTCAAGCATTACAGCATATTTGCACTTGTGTCCAGCATTCCATATTCCATTGGAAGCCCCTCACGTCCCCAATTGGCACCTCACCGTGTCCCCCCCAAGGTGGCCCGCCCCACTATTTGAGAAGTACTGCTGTAGGACATGCTACAGTTTCACTGTAAATGCTGTAATTAATGACTTACATATGAAGCATAATAATAAAAGTACTAGTACTAGTATGCTAATATTATACTTATATTACTAATACTACAGATTATTATCATCATAATAATAATAATCAAAATAATAATCCCATTATCATCATCATCATGGATATTTGAGTGTACTAGTACTAGTATGCTAATATTATACTTATATTACTAATACTACAGATTATTATCATCATAATAATAATAATCAAAATAATAATCCCATATCATCATCATTATCATGGATATTTGAGTATATACTGTACTGTATATATATATGCTCTAAGTATATATGTGCATGTGTGTATGTATATATATTTATATATTTATTTTTATATATTGCAAAATATAAAGAAATACACACTATAAAAAATATATATATAAAGTATATATATGTGTTTATAGTGTATATGCACACTATGGGATACTCAACAGTAGTATGGGTTCGTAGCAGAGAGTACAGTATTACCAGCTCTGCTCAATATTGTATTTCAGAAGCAATGAAGAAGTGAAGAAAAAACTAAAGCCACTGATTTATTCAGCTGCACTGGTGTTGGAGAGCGAGCCGTTAACACCGCGCAGCAAAACTTTTTTGGCTTTTAGCGTAGCACCATAGAAGCAGAGACCAATCTTGGTTCAGAAACACAGAACAAACAAGCCCCTAAGATATTAAATATCTTACGTCTTATTCACATTCAGAGCTCGCAACCTGGCAACCCGTCTTACAGGCGGCTCAAGAATAGAATTAAATATTAAACCCTCTGAGAGATGTTATGACACAAAAGTATTGTGTTTTTTTGTGCGTAAATGTCAATTTTAATATCATCCCGGTGATGATATGTGTCAAAATCACAGACAGAAGCGTAGCGTCTATCGTAAACGTTAATCAAACTTGGTTTTTTTTTTATCTGCCGCCCTGTTTATTCGGTAAAAAAAAAAAAAAAGTTATGACCGTCGTTTGAAAATGTTTCTCACCGAGTCAACGAACCTAAACTTCTGCTGCACAGGCTTTAAAAAAAATTGATTTGATACATCTGGCCCATCGGCTGACAGGTGGTGTGTGTTTGTACAGATGACTCTCTAATGAAGAGAGACAGATAAAAAGCCTTATGTAATGTCTAGTGGATGGCTGCGCATCAAGTGCCGCAATCTTCCACCCACCAAATCCAGATTAATTCTGCCTTTGTGTATATTTGTGTGTGCGCGCGCGCGCGAGCACGCGAGTGCTATTCCCGCCTGTTGCTAAGAGAGAACCAGTGCCGGTAAGTGAGAAAATATCACCGTGTGAATTACAAAAGCCGACACCCAAAATACACTTTTGACGGAACACATATTATTTTATATATAATTATTTATCTCCAGTTCATACGATAGTCGTTCGTGTTGTTGTTGAAACTAGAGACAAAACCTTTTTACGGTCGTTGCCTCAGAATAGTTTAGCTTGAGCTTATTCTGCCATCTTTTGGACCTAGAGATAAACTGCAAAAGAAAAAACTTGTTGAAACTAGAGACAAAACCTTTTTCCGGTAAATGCCTCAGAGTAGTTTAGCTTGAGCTTATGCTGCCATCTTTTGGACCTGGAGATAAACTGCAAAAGAAAAAAAAACTTTTCTCAAAATGCATTATTTTAATTGTTTTACAAATGTGATATGAGAGATAAAAAATAAAATGATGTTATATAAAACAATGTATGTACATATACTATAATATCGAATGTGTGTTTTTGTACTGATTTTCTCTTTAAATATGACATTATTTTCGTTAAGTTAACTGTGTATAGACCAGTTGTCGTGCCCCGTTGGGGACAGGAATGTTACAGATATATTGTACATTTATATCCGTACAAACACCTGTATGAGTTGCTGCCACCTAGTGACTGGAAGTTTGTTATCATTCAAGCAAAACAGGAGCATGACGTTGATGATTAGCATAATATAAGGCTTATAGTTTCTGTCAGTGAAGAAGAGGGCGGCAACTGTCAGGAACTGACACCGATAAGACGCCAGGTGTTCGCAGATGAACGTGTTATTCAGGGGAAGACAGGAAACAACTGACAGTCACGGGTAGAGAGCAAGGAGCTGCCAGGAGACAAGCAGCACAGGGGAGAGGCAGCGAGCGGGAACAGACGAGAAGAAGGTCTGGAGGGAAAAAACAAAAAACAAAAAACAAGCATCGACAATTAGGAATGGCTGGGTGAGCGGTCTCTGGGAGGTCGTAGAGACTCAGGGATGAACACTAGGGTGGATGACTCGGGGGTCAACAAAGACACAAAGAAACAAAAGAAGGTAGAACACATTAGAGGAGCAGCGGGCGTTCAGGCGCGGGTAACGTGGGAGGGTAGACGCCAACTGAAGTAGATCGAGCTGATTGATGGACTCACTTGCAAGTACAACTGCTTTGGGGCATTTGGGGTACTGGGATGCGACTGACGCAGAATCAGAACTTTACTTTAGTGATCCCTTGAGGGGAAATTGTTAAAAATGCAGCAGAATACTTTCTATGCGAGGGGTGTCAAACATTAGGCCCGCGGGTCAAAACCGGACCACTTGGTGTTTCAATCCGGCCTGCTTGATGAATTTTGAAAATAAAAAAAATACACAAACACTTCATATGTTAAAAAATGCAGCAGAATACTTTCTATGTGATGGGTGTCAAACATTAGGCCCGTGGGCCAAAACTGGCCCGCTCGGTGTTTTAATCCGGCCTGCTTGATGAAATTTGAAAATAAAAAAAATGAATCAACTTGTTAGTAAAAAAGTAAAAAATTAATCAACTGAAGTTGTATGAAAAGATACATGGATTGTGGCGTACTCATACTTTTTAAAAAAATTATTATTATTCATTTCGATGCAGCCAGGTACCAATAATCCATGGCCTGGTAGTGATCCAGGGAATGTGATCCATAGCGCCCCAGTGATTGCGAATCCCAGCTTTTGTATTTTGCTGCCAATGTATACTAAGTGTTTTTTTTTAAAAGAAAAAACAACAACAACTTTAAAAACATTTTAACAGTATTTACTTTTTTTCCAAAAATGTTTTTGTGTACTTACGAGGGTCTGAAACATTCTCTGTCTCATTCTGTTGAATGGAAATCAGGGTTAAATCCTTTCTTTAATGTGGGGATTTTAATATTCCAAATGGACAGGATTGCCCTCAAACTAAATATAGTGTGTACAGCTAAAGCAAATGTACGATTGTCACTGGCTATTTTTAACTCGGGACAGTGGAGGGAGGGAAAATCCAGCCACTCTCTCAGTCTGAAGCATTCCCTAAAAATCACTCCTGGTTGCTGGAGACAACTGGTAAAATATTGTAGGTCAGGGGTCACCATCATTTGGTGGGCCAGAATTTTTCTAAAAATCTAAGCTTTGTTTTTTATGTTTTTTTTTTATTATTTTATTATTGTAGCTAACTTTGCTAATCACTTCTGATTTTTCTTCAAGATTTCCCCAAATTTCCAGGGATTTTTTTTTTTACAATGCAAGCTTTAATTTGATCTTTATTTCTATATTTAACTGTATCTATCTATCTATCTATCTATCTATCTATCTATCTATCTATCTATCTATCTATCTATCTATCTATCTATCTATCTATCTATCTATCAATTGATTAATCGAGCTAGCTACCTAGCTAGCTGTGTTAGGACATACTGTTACTGTAACAGGGTGTATTGATGCAGTGACCTGTCTGCAGTCAGCCTTCAGTCTATACCACCTAAGGGTCAGACTGTACGGTACATGTGACTCACAATGGCTGGATTAAGGGACTATTACATAATCCCAAATGTGTATTGAACCTATATTCAGTATTGTCTTGCAGATTATAGCCAGTACCATCAAGGAAATACATTAAATATTTATTTATTTTTTAATGCTTGTCAACTGCTTGGTTTTCATGAGGACACTGTCTTTTAATATTCTAGAAGGATTTGTTTCTCCTCTTCATCTACCTCTCATGTAAACGTGATATGCTGTAGATTACCCGGCCGTTAATCTGTGTCATGTCTGGTGTGAGGTGATGGTCCGCGCTCCTCCTGGTGGCACAGAGGGGGAAAACGTGCCAGACTTGAGTGCGCGCACCAATCCAAATCCATACAGTAAAAACGCGGGAGGATTTCCACTATTTCCACACATCAGCAGCGAGCATCGAGGAGAGGGTTGCGTTGTTGATAAAGGGAAACATGTTTTTTTTGTTTGTTTGTTTTTTGGAGATTTAACATATGAGGACACCATGCGGACTGATGTGTTGTTGATGATGCTGGTCCTCCACCTGCTGCTGCTGCTGCTTTGGACGGCGAGTGCGTGCGCCGTAAACCGGGGGCAGAAACTGGAGCCACACAGACACTTCAGGTAAGTTCATAGCAACAACTTCCGGTTGTGGTTCGCATGATTTGTTTTATGAATCCTAATCGTACAAAGCAAGGAAAACAGTAAGACGTAAATCTAAAGAGCAAGCACAGCGTGAGTTTTCCCAAAGAGGGGGCGCTAGACTGAGGCGTGTATCGATGTATTACTTTGATTTATTTATTTATTTTAAACGAGTATAGCAGATTTTAGGAAGTTCAGTCCCACCGCCGCTAACGTATCGACCTGGGGCTCTCTGCAATAGTCCAATTTACCAAAGGGGGCGCTGCAAAAATGCCTTAAAATCGCCTTTTTGTACTGGCGATATCAAAAGTAACGTGCAAGTCGCGTTAAATAATTCACGAAATGAATCAGATTCAAATTTTAAACGCATGCGCACGACGACACGTACGTTCCATATTAATAATTCCATGATTCAGTCACAAATAAAACAGGGTGTGACACACGTGCATGTAGCTGCAGTTATTTGTCTTTTCGTTCAACCAATTACGGTCGTCAATTAAGGATAGCGAAAATTTGTCTTTTCGTTCAACCAATTACGGAATTGTTGTCGTCAATTAAGGATAGCGAATAATTAGAATCCGTCATGATGGAATTTTGTTTTTATTCAACAAACAAAATTACTTCATCATCACTTGAGTCAAGAACCAAACTGTCTTCATTTTTTATTTTAGTTTTGCTGAAATAAAAAAAGAAACTCAAAAAGAAGTACAATGAAGAGAAAGTCTGATGTCGGGCGTGACGTCAAGCAGTAAAACTTCCTGGACCGTCCAGATATAGGTAGAAAAAACATATTTAATTGTAAAATTTTAATATTTTTTTTTCCTTTTTGTTCTTTTTCAGACCAAAAAGAGAGTTATTTTTAATGAGAAAAACTGCTCACAAGATCGGCAGGTAGGTCCTTTATGTGTGTTTTCCTCTTTATCTCCTATGTTTGTAGAAAAAACAACAGATAATATAGATGGATGGACGGGTAGGTAGGTAGGTAGGGTAGATTGATATTGACTGCAGGAAGAGACTGATGGATGGACGGGTAGGTAGGTAGGTAGATAGACTAGCAGAAGGAAAACCTCTGAGGTCGGTTGATTTTCCACATTTATGGCAAAAAAGAAACCCCAATTCCACCTCTGCTGTTGTTTTCATTCCCCTCGAACAGGTCAAAACAATCGAGAAATGGTTAGAGCTACACGACTGGTTCTGAAGACACACGGTCAACATTTTTTAATCACACAATTGTGTGCAATATCTGCAGAGGAGGAGGAAGAGCAGGATGGATTGCATTTAAGTATCCTACTAAGCTCGGGATAATCCGTTCTAATCCTTTAGGCGTATGAAGTTCATAAGTAGGTTTAGCATGGTTTTGAAAATAATGGTAGAAGAAATGTTACAATGCAAAAATGTGTGAATTTGGAAAGTGCAATTTTACTTCTAAGTGTTCTGATTTAAAACTTACCTGTTGCTTTTTACAAATGTTCAGCAGCGCCATCTCTAGGAAAAATCCAGATCTAACCAAAGTCCGGGGTAAAAAGTCAGAGCAAGTGTTCAAGATCGATGACCACGACTTTACCATGCGACCTGGATTTGGAGGTAAGAATGTTGATTGGTGCAGCTACCAATTCCATTAAAATAATTAAAAATGTCAGCCTTGTTTGTGTTGAAGCCCCCACCCCGAGAGGTCAACATGTGATTTGCATATTTATTTACTGTAAATTGAAAAAATGTTGGATACCTTTCTCGCAACTTTGTTCTAGGACCTGCAGTTCCAGTCGGCGTAGACGTGCAGGTTGAAAGTCTGGATGCGATTTCAGAGGTGGATATGGTAGGTCTGCGCCAAACTGAGATGTAGTACATGAACTACAGGTCAATTTTTAGTGATAAAACACACTTTTATTTGTTTGTTTTTTTGGTCAGGACTTTACAATGACCCTGTACCTGAGACACTACTGGAAAGACGAACGCTTGTCCTTCAGAAGCAACACCAATCACAGCATGACTTTCGATGGCCGCCTGGTGAAAAAGATCTGGGTGCCGGACATGTTCTTTGTCCACTCCAAGAAGTCCTTCATGCATGACACCACCACTGACAACGTCATGCTGCGGGTGTACCCCGATGGCAAAGTGCTTTACAGTCTCAGGTAGTACATGTTGTGTGTGTGTGTTTTCCCCTTTATCTCCTATGTTTGTAAAGAACAATGACTGAGTAGTCAAACTACGGCCCGGGGGCTAGATGCGGCCCGTTTTGGCCTTTTAATCTGGCCCACCAAACTTGTCCAAATTATGTTATTAATTTAAATTAGCATTATACTTCTTTCCCTGTAATGCCTGCATTTCCCCAGTAGATGGGGTAGAAGAGGCTAAAAGCATTTTAGCCTCCTCTAGCTTGAGTTTGACACATAGGCAGATAGATAGTACCGCTGTCTATGGTCATTGCTTATGCTCATGTACTATTAGCTGTCCCGCCATAACAGAGTGGCTGGGACTGCTTTAGTATGTGGTTTTGATTAAAAGGATAA